AAGTAAACGAACAAGTAAACAAGTGAGGAATTAGGACTGGCTAGGCAAGTGTATGAGGAGTCCAAAGATAAAGCAAAGTACATCATTGAGGAAAAACGAGCTAAGTTTGAAGAAAAACAGATAGAGTCGATCAGAAGTGCAGGGAAGGGAAGTGCTAAACTCTTCTGGAACATGGTCAGGAATCGAGGAGACAAAACCAGCTATGAAATAAAAATAAAAAACGATAGTGGTATTGTCTTAGAAAACAAAAGCGATGTTAACATGGAAATGACAAAACATTGGAAAGAGGCAAATGAAGATAAAGGAGCGTGCCTGGCTGACAAAAATTTACAAAACAGGAAAGTATACCTCCAAATGGATAAAGCGGCGGACTTAACAAATAGCGTAACCATAGAAGACGTTATAGGTAGGATAAAGGTGGCAAAGCTGGAAATGACATGCGGGTAGAAATTAGAATGATATCCCAAATGAATTCATAAAGCATGGTGGGAAAACATTAGTGGAAAGGTTAAAAGACCTATTTAACAAGATTCTAGAAAGCGAAGTATTCCCGGAAAGCTGGAAAAGGAGCAGAGTCACACTAGTCTTCAAAGGAAAAAACCTGGATAGAAAACTTTTTTTAAACTATAGACCAATAGCACTTACTAGTAATGTGGGTAAAATATTCTCAGGAATCCTTAGGACTCGCCTAGAAAACTTGCTGGAAGACTCCGGATTTCTAGGGGAACTCCAAAATGGCTTCAGAAGGGGCAGACGCGCAAGTGACAACATTTATATTCTGACCCAAAGCATACAGAGGGCAAAATACAGGAAATCAACCTTGTATGTGGCTTTCCTAGACTTAAAAAAAGCATACGACTGGATAGATAGAAGGAAACTACTACGTGAACTTAGAAGAGTTGGGTTAGGGGACAAATTTAGCCGGCTAATAGAGGCCATGTACGAGGGAAATGAGTCCAAGGCTAGCCTAGGCCCATATGAATCAGGTTGGGTTAAATCCACGAGAGGGGTCAAACAAGGATGCTTATTATCACCGTTGCTCTTTGCCATCTATATATAAGAGAGCTAGCTCATAGACTAGAAAGGAAAAATGAAGAACTAGGTGTAGGGAGGGAAAGAACAACAGGGATGCTGTATGCTGATGATGTGGTCTTGATAGCAGATAATAACTGCAGGATAAGGGTACTAGATGTGGCGGAAGGCTTTGCAGAACATTACTTAGAATCAGCCTGGAAGCTCCGGAACAAAATCTCCCAGTAAATTGAAATTACCGGTGGGAAACTATCAAAAATAAAAAGGGAAACACCGATCTAAAGGTTCCCGTTCATACATGTACACATACATACACATATCAGGAGTAGATAATAGGGAAGTAGTTCCCTATTATTTACTTCTGATTATCAGATACATATACAATAAATACTCGTATGCATGGCGAGCTATACACCGTCTAACACATACACAGATACTCAGATAGTGCAAGGTGACCACAACCCCAATCAGTATATGAATTATTCATGAACTATCATATAAATTGTTTAATGGCACAACCAACAGCCATGCACTCTAATAAACACGGCTGTCGTGGAATCACTTGCTACAATGAGGAATGACGTAATATTGATTTTCTTTGCTCGTGATTTAAATATGATTGAATATCCAGATTGGAAACATATTTCAGACTGTAGTCCACATAAAGAACGTTGATGTCTGCGATGCCACAATTTACATATTATCGTATGCATTTCCATTTAACCACATATACCTAGAATATATTTTCCTTTCAGTTTTTGTACACATGAAAGGAATATTTGCAATATTCTAGATTTTGCCATTATTTATTTTTTTCAGTTATATTAGCCCCAACCTCTTACTTTGTGTTTGCTGGCTGTGCTATTAAACTATTTATTATTTTAATCTATCCTAAGTATCCAATTTTACTGCCCAAAAATATAAATGATGGATATTATAAAAAATTAGCTACATGCAACAGTAATTACATTTTCGATAATGTGTATTGTCAATGCCCCGCCCCTGCTGCTACCTAGGGGTATTATGTATATTGTGCTAGTTTTTGGTTCTCTGTTCAAGGGTAATAGTGTCTTTATTACCTCCGCCAAGGGGTTGGCAGGAGGTTATGTTTTCATTGGCGTGTGTTTGTTGGTTTGTGTACAGCCCAACTCAAAAAGTTATGGCGGGATTGACATAAAATTTTCAGGATAGGTCAGAAATGGGATAACTTAGAATTGATGAGATTTGGTGGTGATCCGGATCCAATTAATTAAATAATTAATAAAATTCTCAGGATGGGTCAGAAATGGGGTAACTTAAAATT